TTTTTTTTTTTTTTTTGCTACTCTACCAAGCTGGTCAAAATCCTCTCCTTTTTTTTTTTTTTGCTACTCTACCAAGCTGGTCAAAATCCTCTCCTTAATATGGTAGAGAAAATGAGAAAAGTGTTAGGTAGTGGTTTAGCAGATTTGCACTGATTTATTTTTCCCCAACTCCAGGTCTTGTCTGGTGCTTTCAAGCTATTTTCCCCACCAAACACTCACAGTAGATGTGGACAATTCCCTGCCAGGTTCAAGTATTCCTTTTCTCTTTAAGTGTTGGATTGCTGGGTTCTKCTGGGTCTTCAGCATCATGCTGGATAATTCAAGTTCTCTTTCTTGCAACACAGGCCAGGAACATTCTGCATGTGTTATTTTTTCCTCCTTAGATTTATGAATTTTCCCTAATTCCACCCAGGTTTGTACCTGCATGAATGAGAGCTTAGCATCTCACTCTTCTCATTAACACTATGTTACTACACTGAATTAATCCAAGGAATAATTAAGATCTCTTGTGTTCTGTTTGCCTGGGATCTTTAGCTGCTATTGTGGTATWAATAATCAAAGGTGAAGGTATCTCTGTTGGGGTCAAGTGAAAACCAGGGTTGCTTTTGGCTACCTGCATTAATTTGTGAAAGAAGCTTTTTGTTGATACTGAGGTGTCAAAATGGAAAGCTGATGGTGTTGTTACATTTTGATTGTGTGTAAGAGTTCACATTATGTTCTCAGGYCTGCTTTCTCAAAGGCAAAATGAGCTGTAGGATTTACTTAAGCAATTTTTAGCAAAGTCACACAGGCCCATGAGGYCCAAGTTTCATTATTGCCCAAACCTGTTGTAGTTGTAGCAGAAAGAATTCTGCTGTGATTAGTTGGAGCTCCATGCTTAGCTTTGGCATAAGTGTGCTTTGACTGGTGTTGAAAACTGGGCTGCACACAGATAAAGAACATCTCTTACTCTCCATTTGACCTTGGGCTTAGTTCTTCAGTACTTTGCAATCCATACCTTTGCAAATGTTTGTGCTGATGGACAAGGCTGGGAGGCAAACAGCTTTTGGGAGGAAGGTGGAGTAGTTTATTCTATTGGCTAATGGTTCGTGGTTCTTAATTGGATGGAGTTGAGAAAGGAATGCAAGAATATTGAAAACTAAAAGGGGAGGGTTTGGTGCTGTGCATGGCAGCTCAAATGGGATAGGACAAAGCCCTTGGTGTGGTTTAGGCTGGACCTGCAGTGCTTCTCACTTCCCCACAAGGTGTGTGTTTGCCCTAGAGAGGAGGTTGCTGTAGATCACCGGACTGTTGTGTCTCTAATGACATCTCGGGCATGGTTAAAGGTGACAGCTGGAATGTCCCGGTCGGTTGTTAGGTGGCAGAGCTCACACAAGCAGAGCCTACAGCAAGCACCATTTTAAAACCTGTCTTTGCTCAGTTCTCGCAGTACCTCCATGAAAACGCTTCGTACGTTCGCCCTCTGGAGGAAGGAATGCTGCACTTGTTCCAGAGCATCACGGAGGATACTGTGACAGTCCTGGTGAGATTTGCTCCTTTTAGTGTCCAAAAAGATTTTCACTGAGCAAAGRCACTTACCTATTGCTTTTTCCTTTCAGGAAACAACTGTGAAATTGAAGGCCTTCTCAGAACATTTAGCTTCCTACTTAGGCTTTTTAAGAAAGATTCTTCCTTATCAGTTAAAAAGGTACTTTTCATTTGATGGATCAAATTTAAAGACACTGTGTCAGGCATGCAGCATTTTCACACCTAAAACTCAAATATTKAAGTAAAACCTTAAAGGATTCTGGYCTCTGYTCTGTCTTAAAAGGCAGAATTTATTCCTTTTTTTCAATGTTGGTTTGTAAACTTTGAGATTATACATGGTTTGTTTTTTTTTTAAGGCATTAGGATTAAAAACATTTATTTTAAAACCCTTTCCCCGCACCTCACTGRTGAGACCTTAAAAATATGTGCAGCTTTCCTTAATGTTTATTAATGTTACTCAATAACATTGATACTATTCAGGTGTGATACACTGAAATTGTTAATGCCTTGAGCTTCTCTGAGGATTGTTCATCATTCAGTAATGTAGCAATGAAATGAAACTTGGCCAGATGYACATCCCTTCTGCTGTGAAAATCTTTGTTCCTGGGTTGATTCAAGGGAGGTGAATTATAGGTGCAAAGAACTGCTTAAAAAGAGGGTTTGGACTAAGGAAGAAGAAAAAAATCTCGATTTATGCTTCCTTTATACCTATTCTTGTGCTCCTTAGGAAGCAAAAGATAATTTATGTAGTAGAGGGAAAAGTCTTCAAACTTAAATTGCTGCAATCAATTCCTTGCTGTGAGTGTAAGTCATTCCTGGCTGGTGATGGAAACACCCAAGAGTGGAGATGCACACAGTACTTTTCATGTATTGTTAAGTTCTCTGCTATGTTGACCTTTCTAAAATAAATTCCTAGTTTGCTGTTGCTTTGGACTGGGGAGGTAGAGAGCACCTTTCTGCTCCAAAACTCGTGAACTTGTTTTTTTTTAAGAAAATTGCTTGCTTTTAAAAAAATAATTCATATATTCCTAGTTTGGAAGAAGAGTGTGAGTCTTCTCTTTGCACAGCTGCTTTAAGAGCTAGAAATATGGAGCTGCACAGAGACATGAAAAGGTTGACTGCAGTCTTTGAGAAGCTTCACACGTACGTCAGTCTTCTGGCCTTACCAAGTAAGTGTCAGTTCTGGCTCAGTTGGTTCCCCTGGCATTGGTTTTSTGTGGGTTTTTCTAGTGTGACTGACAGTGTGCCTTTTGTCATCTCTTAATTCTGAAATTGTTAAAAAACCTACTATTTATTAATCATCACTTCCAGTCCCTCCTCTTCACAAGGTTATTACAACTCTTACGGTCATGACTAAATAATATCAGGTAAAGCCTTGGGGTGTGTGTGTGGGGGAAACTGTCTCCAAATGCATCCTGTAAATAGCAGTAGGAGATGGTTACTGTGTAGCTTCAGGTTATTTCAGCCTTCACTCTTCAGAAGGGCCCAGATGGTCTTTCCTACAGCTGCAAACACATCTTTCTGTATGTGTGGTGTTTGAGACCAAAACAATTGATATGTATAAAACCTGAATAAAATCTAGGGAACTTGAAAATCCTTTACCTGCCTACTCTGGCAAAACTGGATATGTGTACATTTGATATTGGAGGGRAAGTCTAAGTAAAGAAATCTGCTATGACTCATACTCCATGCAAATGATTCTAGTAGGTGGAAATTGAATTCTTTTCAAAGCTAACTTTTTCCATTCATGGTCAAATCTTACTGTTGTGCCTTTCTTTTCCTTCTTACTTGGTGCTTTTAGGTACAAAACCAGAAGGACTCCTTAGGACAAATTACAACTTWGTGTTTACAAACATTGCTGCAAGTCTTCATGGATTCCATGACATTTTAAAAGGTGAGAGTAGGGACTGTTGTCTTGTTTCAGCTTTGCTTCTTTCTGTTTAGCATAGCACTGTGTACTCTCTCTGTAACAGTGCTGAATGTATCATATGTTATCAATCTTGTTTTGCCTCTATAAGCTAAGAAACTCAACCTACTAAYTACTTATTTTAGACATTCATGCCTRGTTTTCCTTCCTCCATTCTGTTAGCTTTGTTCTTCAGAGTTGCTGAATTAGTTAACTGTGTTTCTCCAGATCTTCCTGAGCAGTGTTACTCTGCTTTCTGAACATCATTGCTCTATTGAAACTAGCATACAGAATGGAATGCTATTAAATACATTTTTTCCCCTGCGTATGTAGCATTGACCTAGTACCTGCCTTCAAAGGGGAATTTTTCCTTCCAATTTTTAGGTTGATGACTGTTTTTAACATGAATATATAACCAAAGCTTCCRAAGAAGTCCTGGTTCTTTTTGAAACTTGACTCCCTCTGGAAAATGGTTTACCTTGCTTTTATCAGAGCAGCATGGCTRTGTTATGTTTTCACTGAAGTGATGTTTGGTTATAACTCAGAATTTTAAAACCAATGTTTCTGTRTGTCCTAGAAATTCAGTGCCATGTAGCTGTTCCTGGGGAGAAAATAATCCATAGAGATTAAATGAGCTAGCCCTCTGTTTAAACATTAAGATTTACGATTTTAAGGAAAATTGAGGTTTTTCCTAATAACATGAATAGTATGGCCCCATTTTACAGAGTCCTTTAAAAAAGAAAAAAAGACATATTAAAGATAGTACCTCAAATAAAATGAGATGCTAAACCAAGAATTTTGTAGCATGGATAAATTAAAAATACTTCCTATCTTTTAATATGGTCACTATAATGCACAATCAACCCAACTTACATTTTAAGGGAAATAAAGAAAATGGAAATACTGAAGAAAACTGTCAGTGGAATTCATTAGCTATCAACAGAAGTGCTGTACTTAACATTTCATACTCCTATACTCCAGAATGTTTAATTTCTCTCTTCTTCTCAGTCCCAACTAATGAACTGTTTAAGATTACTTCAGATTATAATTTGTGGTGTTGATGACTTCTTCACAATGGGATTTCTCTAYTCTGTAGCAATAGTACTCTGTTCTAAAATAGTTGCAAAATGTTAATTTGTCAAACAATTACTTTTTCTAAATTTTAGTTTTTTTAAATTTAATTTTAAATTACTTTAAAAAAAATTAAATTTTACATTTTCATTTTCAATGTAGAGGTGAAAATATCCTTACATGATAAATATTTTATTCTTTTAAATATTGGCACTATTGAAATATATATAGGCTAAGATGCTTTTGTGAATGACTTTCAGGAAGTTTTGTGTTCTTCATTTGACATAAATGTGCTTCTCCTTTTCCAGATATTTCCAAGCACTATAGTCAGAAAGCTACTTTAGAACAGGAAGTTCCAACTGCCACACAGAAACTCATAACTACAAATGACTGTATTTTATCCTCTGTTGCTGCTTTAACAAATGGAGCAGGCAAGGTAATGGATATTTTTGTTCCATTCAGTGCCCTAACTTGTGCAGATTTTTAAGGAAAAAAGAGTAARCTTAGCTGAAAATATAGAAAACCTCTGTGTGCCTCTGATATCAATAAACTATTATTTTTRGGGTGTTTTCAGGCTGCATGTTAAAAATAACAAAGTGAGTGATGAAAATAGATACTGGGAAGGGGATGCTTTGTGTTAAGAGGTTAAAGTTGCATGGAAGAGCCCTTAGCTTGTTTCAAAGTCTTGTTATGAAGTCCAGTGTCACAAAATACTTRTATTTTGAAAGATTAAGTGCTGCAATGAACCTTTCTAGTCAACTTAATTCAAAAAGTGGCTTCTCTTGGTGTGTCTAGATGGCCTCGTTCTTCAGCAACAACTTGGATCAYTTCACAGCCTCGCTGAGCTACGGCCCCAAGGCAGGAGCAGAGTTCATCAGCCCTCTGTCAGCTGAGTGCATGCTGCAGTACAAGAAAAAGGCAGCTGCTTACATGAAGGCTGTGAAGAAGGTTTGTTCAGCCAGCATGCTGGCACAGGGCACTTGAGTTGATGGTTGCTTATGCCAAAGGGAATGCAAACKAAGGATTTGCAGTACTTGGAATGGAATGGAAGAGATTCTCTGAATGACACTTTTGGCTGATGAAATGGAGCCCTTAGTGCAGTGATGCTATTGAAAACTTTAGAGAGCATAGTTGCCCTCAAAACTGAGGGTATGTGCCAATTCTGCCATTACCCATTTCCACTAATTATTTCTGTGCCAAGACTCCAAGGAGAAGGGGGTGGCTGCTTATTTAAATTTCCTCCCATRTTCACCAGGAATATGTAGTGAATGGTATCATATTCTTACACTTGCATTCACTGGGAGACAGTGGAGAGCAATAGGGAAAAAAAGACACCTGAAAAGGAGGTGCACTGGAGAAAATGTGCTGGACAGAGGGTTGAATGCTGCCAGATCTCCCTGCTGTCTCCATTAAAAGTAATAGTTAAGGGATAGTGACCTTAGCAGTTGTTGCTAAATCACTTTACTGCAATGTCTGTAAGGAGCACCTTAGGATGCCTTTGACCTTAATTAACACTTGGAGTTTTCTGAGCACTTTTTAATCAGCTGTRCCTTTTGGGGCAGTATTTCTTGTGAGCTCAAACCATTTTTTGCTATTGCCTTGTAAGCACTTGTTGCATTGTTTTTTTCCCTTTACTAAAGTAAGGAAAATAGCAAGAAAATCGAAGTAAGCTACATGTTCTGATCTAGTGTGTGACATGTTTTAAGAGGGTTTTTGTGATTCTTCTGCAGCCTTGTGCCGATTCAGTGCCTTATGAAGAGGCTTTGGCCAATCGCAGAGTTCTCCTGAGTTCTACAGAAAGCAGAGAAGGTCTTGCACAGCAGGTATTGTGATACACATTTTCCTAACATACATGGCAGTGGGTTTTGTAAAGGTAAACTTGTATCAGAGCCTCCACATATTTATGTCTGTGGTTATTTGTGTGTATATGTGCATGTACTGAACCTTGAAACTGTAGATGTCTTTTAGAATTTTGAAAGTAAAGCTTAGTGTTGTCAGGCTGTGTTATCCCCTCCACCTGCAGAATGTACACGTGGATATGAGAGACAGGATTATGTCACTGATACCTTCATTTGGAAATACAAGAAGTCAGATAATCTTTAATAATTCAAATAAAAGCAAAGTAAAGACAGGAATAAGGCATACTGAAGAATTAATTTTTAATTTTGTGTACTGCTTCGAGTCCTCTTTTGGACTATGCAGGAATTATTAACCTGGTTAAGTGCAGTGATTTTACTTTTCTCTTAGAGTAATAGATTACATTTTCTGTTTTACAATCTGCATATATGTATTTTTTTTCTGGAAGGTGAAGCAGGGTGGTTAACATGGTATTTTAAAGGCCTACACAGTTTGTCCATTGCCTCATGTGAGTGAGAATAGCTGATTAATGCTGACACTTCTTTATTAGCTTGTATACTCAGCCTGTGCCTGACTCATTGTTACTGAGCTGTAGTCTGGGGTTGTTGGTTTTTTTGGTTAAATTTTTTGTTGTTTTTTGGTGGCCAGTATTCTAAGTGTGTTAGTAGGGGTGAAATGAACTCCAGCAGAAATGTGCAGTGATCAGATGTGTTCTGTTCCAAAGCTGTTTTCTTACCTGGACAAAGTGGGTGGTTCTGTCTGTGTCAGGTGGGACAGCTGGGAGGGGGCATTTTTTCTTTCTAGCATAGAAAAAGGTAATGCAAGTGCCAGGTACACATCTTTCAAGCTCTATGAAATTCCTCCCTGCTTTTTTTACCAAATAGGATGTTGCTAGTTTTGTGAGCTGTACCTTTGTAACCCATTTCAAACTAATTAAATAACGTTGCCATTTTTATCAAAGAACCACAGCTAAGCACTCAGCTCAGAACAGTAGTTGTTGTTTACCTGCTGCAATTTGTTAGCTCAMTTATGTAATGGTTTAAAATAATACTGTCCTCAAACATTTCCTGTGTGTGGCTTTTTTCCTCCCTGGGTTCAATAACCTGGACTGTAAACTTTCSCTCCTAAAGGTCCAGCAGAGTTTGGAGAAAATTGCAAAACTTGAACAAGAAAAAGAACACTGGATGTTGGAAGCCCAGCTAGCRAAAATAAAGCTAGAGAAGGAAAACCAAAAACTGAAGAACTCTCTCAGTGGACATTTAACTGAAACTATCCATGAGCATTCCACTGTGCCAAATATAGCAGAACAAAAGAAGGAAACCACAGAAAAGAGTCTGAGGGAACCTATTAAGAGCACTAGTCTGGTAAGTGACCTCTCCCTTCAATAGAGAAAAATCCACTTTCTTTAACAGCAGTGCTGTTTGATCAGTGGGACACTAAAAAGGAAAGCCTTTTCCCTGTGTTGAAAAGCATTCACTCTTGGGGTCCYTGTATTTCCAAAGCTGCTTGCAAAGTCTCACACTTCTTGGATTTTGAGACTTTGTTCGTTGTCTTTGGTATTATGGAGGTGTTTTTGTAGTTCTGTTCCTGTGTGACTGAGGGGGAAATAATGGGTGCTTAACCCCTAGATTTGTCTGCAGTTAGGAAACCTTGCAAGTGCTGTTTATCTTGGGTTGGTTCTGAGTTTCCAATAGCTTTATTCATCTCAAGGTATGTTAAACCAAATGGAAGTAGGTAGGTAGTGTTTGTAAATGGGTTTGAGGATTTATTAGGGTCAGTTTGGTTTCAGCAATTACTTTCTGATGTAGTATGCATTCTTTCCCTGCTCATTGTTGGTAAATGGCTTTTTCCTGTTTACTACASATATTTAAAAAGAGTTGGCCTTTCCCCTGAATTCCACTTCTGAAGTGGCATAGTGGTATTAGCAGGAATGTCATCTGTAAGAAATAATAAATTTACTCAACTCAGCATTCAATAGAGTTGTATGTGGGGTTTTTTTGGTTGTTTTTTTTTTTTTTTTTTTTTTTTTTTTTTTTTTTGTCCTCCCCACTTTCCTGCTCCAGGATAAAAGTAACCAGTGGGTTGTTTTGAAATCCCCAATTCTGAAGTAAACTGGCATCTTTGGTTTTTGATACTCTATTTTAATCCTTAGGAGTTTGAGGAGAGTGTTACTCACAGGTCAACATACTGCATTAATATTTCCCATAAACATAAATCTTTAGTCTTGTTGAGATTAAAGGGGGAAAAAAAAACCCTTTGAGTGTCTGTAAAGATATTTTTTCAGGAAACCAGTTATTGGCATACACTTCTCCTGTAGAGTTTTGTCAGTGATTACAAGTCAAAGTGGAAAGGAAGGAATTTGGAAGGTACTYAAGAAATCCAAGTTGACTTTCTTTGCTCTTGAACATGACAAGTAATGTTTCAGTGTACTAAAGTGCTTCTGAATTAGTTTCATATGATCAAGCAGTTGCATAACCATACAAACCCAGCTGCATCTTGTTGTTTTTATTGCTTTTTCCCTGTGTACATCATAAAACAGGAGATATAGTTTTGAGAGTTGGTGTCAGCTTTAATTCTGTTCAAGRCATTCATATAACCACTCCTGTTTATTTTACAGGTGGAAATACTTAAATTTGGTTTCAGATTGCTGCAAGATTTTTTAAGTTTAAGGGTCCTTCTGTGACTGAAACTCAAATGCAGCTATGGTATCTGTTTTTTTGCAGTTCTCATTAACTGTATTTTCTTCCTTGTTCTAGATTGGAATGTTGACTGTAACTACTGATAATGAAAAGGTAATCTGTTTTAAACATTGTTAAAGTCCATCTGTTAAATTCTTYAGTTCTGATTCTGTTAAACTTATTGCAGAGTTGGAATTACTCAGAATATTCGTGTATAATGGCACGAGTTGACTGTGTAGTATGAAATGATCAAATTTCTGAAATCCATGGGTTTCTTAATTTTCTTGTTCTGTTGGTGAACTGTTACTTTGCCCATTTCAGCATTTTGGAGCAGTGTGAACTGCAGTCAGGGGCTGCTCTCTGTAATTTGAGGAAAGCTTTGGTCTGTCTTTGCTGCAGCAGCCCAAACTGCATTCCAAGCCTCAATTCCTAACCCTCGAGCTGCATAAAAAACCCATCTGCAGTGCCTGGTGTACAGAGCAGAGGTCACAGTGAAACAAGCCTTGAGCCAGCTGTCAGACTAAATGTTAACTATTTATTTAGCACTGCTATAATGYAACACTTGCCACAGCAAGATTCAGTGCTTTCGCTTTTCTGATATGACAGGGATCTGTCTTATTCCTCTTTTTCTTCCTTCTTAGAAAATGGGTAGAGTGCTAGATAATAACTGATACAAGTTTTTAAAGGCTTCTGAATAGTGCTGAACTTGAAGGTAATGACAAATCATGTGAAAGCTGCCTCCAATGGGTTACTCTGTAAGCTACTGAGTTGTTGGGCTTTTTATTACTTTTTTTCTTTTTTAATTTCAAATGTCTGAAGAAACCTCTGGAACGTGCAACATTAGAAATAGTTACAATTTTTGTAAGCTTCTGAAATTGAGTTGTGTGAAGGAATTGTTCCCTGTTGGGAAGAGACAGTAAGTTTTCATGTAAGTGAAATCCCTGCATTTCTGCAGTAGATTTTCCTCYTCATCAGACACCTGATGTGTAAAAGCAAGTTACATTCTTACCTCTTCAGTCAGCTCTTTGTCCTTTATGGGAGTCTGACATTAAGAGTCACCATCAGAGTGACAAATTGCAGTGTGGCCTGTGGTAATTGGTCTGTTGTGTTTGGGGAATTTAATTCTTTTTGATGGAGCAGCCAGGCCTTGGGAGGAAGGACAAGAAATGTGTATAGAGGCAATGTTGTGATTCAGGTACTCAGTCTGCTRAACATAAATGTTGTCTGCCTAAATTTTTGCTTTGCCAGGCTGCAGATGTTGAGTGTCGTGAAGACCTGATAAAATCTCACTACATGGCCAGGATAGCAGAGCTGACCTCTCACCTGCAGCTTGCTGACAGCAAATCWGTGCACTTCCATGCCGAGGTGAGCGTGCAGGCAATGACACCAAATCTCTCTTTTGAACTTCCCACAGGCMAGTGCTGTGATAGTGAGTTTAAATATATGGAGCATAATGTTTTATAGGAATCTGTTCCTGGAATATTTTTTTACTGTGGTCTAGTATGAATAAAGACAGATATTGTAAAAGAACTTTTTTATGTTTAATACATGCTTTGTTAATCTTGTCTTGGCTGCATTAAGAAATACAATGTGTATCATGTATAGGTTTGTTCATATGAGCTGAAGCAGCTGGCTTCAGTTACCAAGGAAGTTTTGACTTAAAGTGATGCTGATGTCATTGAAAAATATTTGAGTGTGTTATGAAGTGATGGAAACAGCTCTCCTGAGAAAATTGGTTCTTAGGTGTAAGTTATACTGCAAGAATTAATAGGATGATTCATTGTATCTATGGTTTCCTTTTCATTTCAAGTCATGAGGGAACTTTTCTTGAAAGGAGTGGCATTTTTGATTTATGTAATAAATAGTGTGGAATATGCCGAAGCTCCAGGTTAACAGAACAAATCCTCCTGAATTTTTCTTTTAATGGTAGATGGCATAGTACAGAAGAACCAWCTTTTCTGTGATATTTGAGCCTTGAGTGAAGTGAGTTGTTTCAGTTGCTTTTTACTTATGAAAAATTCCATAGCAGTTACGTGAAAAAGATGATATTTAGAGTATTGGCAATATGGTAGCTCTATAAAATTAAATACTTAGTGTTAACTATTCCATTACTTTTGCATTTAAAAATGTGCACAAACTCTAAGTTTGTCGAAATCTAAGTGTCACAGAAAGATGGAAAAGTCCAAAGCAATCACTTGGAGATGCCACAAGGCAATGCTGTGGAACTGACTTCCCTCCCTTCTGCCCTCCCTGTCCTGTTGTTGGTAGTGTCGAGCACTTGCCAAAAGGTTGTCTCTGGCAGAGAAGTCCAAGGAATCACTCACAGAGGAGTTGAAGCTCGCCAGTCAAAACATCACCAGATTACAGGCAAGTCAATTGTTCTGTAATGTAATAGATGCATTTGGTCTATTATATATATTTATACATGTAAAGGGAACTCGGAGCAGAAAAATCACAGCCATCTAACCTGGCTATGCCAGTACTAAGTCCTTCATTATGGAATATAAAAACTTTAAGAGTATGTGCAGGAGAGCCTTAAATATTGCACTTTATATCCCAGGCATAACGTTGAGGTAGAACATGCTTCCAAGGAAAAGGTTAGAGTGACTGATTTCAGATGATACAAGGAATTCTTAATACTTTCTTGCCCCTGGGTCTGAAAGTTGTAAAAAATGCCAGGTTGTTTTGTTTTTTTTAATATAGATACCTTAACATTAATCTTTAAGAAGCTGTTGTTAACAATAATCCACTCTTATGGCATCCTGTGAGTGTCCTGTCCCTTTGTCCTTCTCCTCCCCAAAGCTGAGAAAGAAGCCAATAGAAAATAAAGTATAAATAAATACTCAGTTCATAAATACCTTTGTGTTTTCTTTACACCTAGTTCATATCTTTATTGTTCATGTGTCTGTAATAGTGAGTATCAATATTGCTCCATACAGGCAGTGAATATAATGTTATCAAATATCTTTTTTGCTTTGTTCCTTTAGGAAATTTCACARTCAGTGTAGCACAAGGTGTTAATCTCCAAGTRCATACTAAACTTGCTAAGAAGAGTYAGCAGGACACYATTTGTATRTTTRATCATCTGCASTGTGCTGAGTCATGGGCTTGTTTAGGTGGCAAGGATCCTCTGAAAGTGATTTGTCCCCCTCCTCTGGTCAGAGCAGASAGYTCAGATCAAGCTGTGGCATCAGATRTCTCCTGTACAGCCATGCTGGCCTTCTGCCAGTCACTCCTCTTCCTAGGGACTGGGCCATTCCTCGTTCTGCCCTTGATCATTCAGCTTTCCTGGGCCCCTGTAACTTCCAGGGCAGATTTACCTGGGACCTGTCCAAGCAGACCTTGAAAGAAGCCAGAATTTACTCTTTTAAAGTCTAGGGTTGCTGTAATKCCTGTATTCATCTGGCTTTCCTCAGGATCCTAAATTCCACTAACTCAGGGTTGCTTCAGCAAAGGTTGCCATTGGCTTTCACATCCCTGAGCAGCTTTTCCTTATTTGTGAGTAACAGSTCCAGCAGAGAGCATCTCTTGGTCCCGTTGGTCCCTGGTATCAGGAAGTTCTTTGCCAACTCAAGACAACTCAAGCTGCTTGTGTTCCACCTTGCTGCCCTTCCAGGAGGGGTCAGAGTTATTAAAATCCCTTACAAGGATCAGGGTCTGTGAAAGGGAGATTTTTATCTGCTCATAGCAGACGCCTGTCACATCACCCTGTTGTTCTCCTGCTTATGAGATTTTAACAGTCTGCAAGCCACTCCTGCACACAGAGCATGATTCCCTCCCTTCTGTCCTTCCTGAGCTGTTTCCCTTCATTGCTGTGTTCCAGTCATGCACACTGTCCCCCCATGCCTCTCTAACCCCAGGGAGATCATGGCTCTGTAACTGCAGGTGRAGTGTTGGTTCCTTCAGCTTTGGGTGCCGTGTGTGTTCTTGTCCAGGCCACGTTTAACCCCATAAACATTACTGGTTTCCTGGCTGGAAGCAATGTTGGAAAACTCGACTGTTAAACTCCTCTGTAAGCCATMAAAAGTGTGGGGGGAAATATCTAAAGGAAACAGGATAAAAATAAGGGGAATAAACCATGCTTGAGACTTCAGGAAAAAGAAAAACAGCTGTTGACTTTCTTTCATAAAGCAGTTGTTTGGGTTTTTTTATCTGCATTGCACACTCAGCATCAAAAGTGGAGCTTCCTACGAGGAAGTAGAAGTGTGCTGCTTTGCCAGTTGTCACAAATGCTGAGCCAAGGGCCTGTAGTTAYTTTATTTTCCCTTTAGGATGAATTGATGACGACAAAGAGGAGCTACGAGGATCAGTTAAGCATGATGAGTGACCATCTGTGCAGCATGAATGAAACCCTGACCAAGCAAAGGGAAGAGATTGACACACTSAAGATGGCCAGTAAGGTGAGTTGGCAGTGCTGCTGTGGGGCTCTGGGAGCTGTCAGGGTGACCTTTGGTGTTCCTGCAGCACTGCCCTTGGACAAAACCTCTCACAAGCTATAGTTCTTACTCTCAAACAGCTGGAAAGGAAACTCTGAACTTGTTCATGTGAGTTTCAGTGAAGAAAAACTTCTTGCAAAACATACTCGAGGAAAAGAACAAACTCTTCATGTCACTGCTTCACATTAGGTTCTCAAAGTGTACCTCTGATGGCAGATSACACCTTTTTTTGTTCAAATGTGGTGAAAATGGAACTATCTGTAAACCCAGCTGGTGATACTGGGTGGTTATGATTAAATTGTGCYAGAAGGGTCCCTTCTGCACCTCTTTTTGGTTGCAGCATTCTCTGTTCTTGGCAGCTGGTCTCGTTCTCTGTTTTATTTCCATATTCTAGCTCATCTGGCCCTCGTGTAGGAAGTTGCCACTTATATTTTCCTGTGAGCTTGAAATGTACACTTAAACTCTTTACCGAGCTAGGAGTCACCCATTTGCCAGAAACAAATTTATAACTTACCTAATGCTGAAAAATACAGAAGTCTGCTATTTTGAGCATTCMCTGATTACACCATGGCTTACCCTGTTCTGATGCTTTTAGGGAGGAACAGATATTGTGAAAGCCTTTGCCCTTCACTTGTCTGACTGTGAAACAAATTATCATTATTCTCCTTAATTGTGGAACGCGTGGAAGCAGGTGTCACTCACTGAAGGATTAAAAAAATAAAAATGATTTTTAAAATTCCATGTTTTGATTAAAGGTCCCACAATGGTGATTTTTTTTTTTTTTATGGTAAACTCTTCCCCCTATTTTTCCTCAGATTTCTGAGTGYTTTAACTTAGCATTGTCTTCTTTAAAATGACTTTGTGGTGTATAAACCCYTGTGTTTCCAGAAGGAAGCTCTCGGTTGCACACTGACCACAGCACTTCATGTTTTTATAAAATGTTTTCTGGAATTTTTCACTTGCCATACTTGTAAGATTGGAATTGTTACTCTGTCTGTGAGGACCTCAGACTCACAGCAGAAGCCACATGGGTTTTGAAATGTTACCAAATGTAGGTGGTGATTCAGTTGAAATCCAAATGAWGCAGTTAAAGGCCTTATCACTTGGAGAGAGTTGTTGGTTAGATTCAAAACAAATGWTATCTTCAGGAAATAGGAAGACTGAGAATTGCCAGCAAGTAACTACTGCACAGARCTTTATTTCCTCAGTGGAATTATTGCAGGCCAAATGTGAGCTGGCTAGCTGTGGAACTAACTCTGTTCTGAAATCTGTACAACTTGAATTAAAATAAAATTTATTTAGGGGAAAAAGCCAAAAGGGTGGGGATTGGTTTTTTAATTTGAGGCAATTACTCTAAAAGAAGAAGCATCTGAAAGTGGATTATAACTTGATTTGCCTTCACTGCCCTCACTGTATTAGTGGTGTTAATACAATTGAGTGTCTTGGGATGTACCTCCAATGTCTTTCCCAGGTTTCAGTTGCAGTAAGGAACTGTTGTGATTAATTGAGGTATCTGGTACTTGCCCCTGTTGTGCTTTTAGAAATAGAGACATTTTCAGAGACAGCAAAATATTAAATGTCTGTGGACTGCTTATTTTCGTCTGACTATACCTTGTTTGCTGCAGGCATAAATTACCAGCCATCAGGTTTTGTGTGTTACCTGTCTAGATTCTTTTACCTGAATGACATGTTCTGTTTGCTTGTTTCTTGTTGCAGGCAAATTCTAAAAAGAACAAAAATCGATAGCTTACGGCTGAGTCTTTGGAAGCTGCTGCAGCACAGGATGCAGATAGTGAGCATTCATTACCCAGTTCCTGTTTGTTCCAGGAAGCAGAGGCTGGTGTTGGGTCTAGTAAAAACTGAATTGGTGCTGTAAATGGCTTTAAAATATTTACAACTTGTGACAGATAAAACAGAATTTAATGTTGGCTCTAAACTGGGAAACACGCACTCTGTGGATAATTTATATAGTAATTCCCTTCAGTTTTTACTGTGCACTTTTTAAAACCAGGTTTTGATTTCATGTAATAACTTCAGATTTTGTATATTTTCAAATAWGTTTCTGCATTAACGAATTTGGATCCATGCAGTAGGTGTCTATTTTTGAGTTATACATTTAATTGTCAGCACATGTACATTCCGTTACTTGTTAATAACAGTTTAAAAATTAGTTTGGAGGCTTTTTTTGGCCATGCAAGCTGTGCAGTTACTGTAAATGTATTATTCCTGTTCTCAGCCCTCTAGAATTAATTGGCATTGTGGCTTGAAATGATTTCTACAAATTCACCAAGTAAATGGGATCATTGTTCGACTGCAACAATGGAAACCTTTYCTGCTTGTATTTGGCACTTTGGATTTTGAGGTATAGAGCACAAATAGCTGAAGTGGGATAGTCCTATGAAATTGCTTTAAGCCATTTCCATAATATTTTGTTTACACATGTATGTATATATATTGGTTGAAATAGCTGTTTAAAGCTAGAGGAAACTGTGATTGTCATTTGCCCCAAARGAGTGAAACATTGTGGGTAGAATAGATCAGCATCCTGTGCTCTCTTACAGTAAAAGGGGAATGTGAAATGTGTACAAGATTTAAACAGTGAACTTGCAAAAGGTCTTCATGGAATTAAGCTCTGGTGAATTCACTGAGGGGATGCACATGGCTTTTCCTGTGTTTTGGGGAGTTTGTGAACTATAGGCCTCTCCTAAGATTTTTTTAAATTTTTTTTTTTTCAAGTGAAGTTTACTACCACAAGTTTTCACAGCACTGATTTGTTGTTGGGGGTRGGGGTTGTTGGTTTTGGGTTGGGTTGGATTTTTGGTTGTGTTTTGGTTTTTTTTTTGTTTTTTTTTTTTATCAGATGCTGTGCTGCTCCACACTTTACACACCAATCTTCTGTTCCATAATTTCCATTATGRCACTTATTTGTCTCATAAAGGTTTACTCTGATATCACATATGTTGATATGTATTATCAGTGTGTAATAATAAAATCAACATGAAACCAGCCTGACTTTTTTCTTACTTCTGACCATGCCCAGGTTGCAGAATGTGATGTTGTGGTGGGGTGTTCCAGCTGTTGCTGGTGAAGTGGTTACACCAGTCTTGCTACTGTCAGTGCTTCTCTTAATTCTGATGGTTTTTCCTTTGAGARATGCAAAACAGAAGTGGTTGTGAAATGGGAGGATATGGGGAGAGCCTGCAGGATTTCTTACTGGTGTTGAATGAAGAGCTGTGTGCTGGTGCTCGTGAGGGTTGGCTTGTGAGCCATTTTATGGAAGCAGGGACAGCCTCAGCTGTTTCATTTTGGGTTGGCAGCCAATTGCTTCCTTCCAATTCTTTCAAAGCTGCCTCTTCTGAGCACTTTCATCTTGCAGTGAAGGTACTAATCCAGTTCTTTCAATTCGCTGAATCAAATTAATCTGTCACTGATACTACTTTTCGTAGGCTCTTGCATTCAGGAAAAGGTTTTGCTTAGGCCATTTTTCACACGTCTGAATAAAAACTGTGTGTGTTTAGAATTTGCATTAAAAGATCAAGCCTGCATTCAAAATATACCCCAATATCCAAACTGGAATTCATATAGAATGCATAGGCTTTTAGGTACAATTCCAGTGTACATTAGTTTATCAGCATCTTTTCTGTGCAGTGTTTGGGTGTCCCCTCACCAATAAGCAATAACCATGCTCAAGAAGAGACAATTTTGATCACTTAATTCATTTCTCCATAATGTTGGGCACCTCATAAATAATCTCTCACTCRCAGGCTTAAGTGCCTTAATTCAGAAAACAGCACTATTTTAATGGTTTTAATTGGATTTTCAAAATATSTTCCTGAGCTTTGTTTTAAAGCTATGCTAACATGTTCAAGGATTTCAGAATGTTCAGCTGTCCTGGATTTCTGAAAGTCCATCTCCAGTAACTAYTCTGTGTGTTCGAAATAAATATTTGCTGTAATCAGGCATTAATTTAACTTCAAGATTGCCCTCTTAAGAACCACTGCTTTATCAGTTTGGAGCTGCCCAAGAAACAYCACAGACATTGTCTATTTTGGAAAGCCTTAAGCTGCTGGAGGTCAGAGGTTTCCCTGCCTGAAAGCTTAACTTCTAAAACAGGAATCTTTAGGATGACGTCGTAAGCTGTGCAAGGGTGCATCTCRTTGCTGTTGGACAATGATTATTTGCAGTTGCCACATCTGTGATTTAAACAGCAATCAGATGAAGTGGAGGTTTAAAATTGGTGGTGGTTGTCGTGCCCTTTGTTAATCCCTTCAGCTTCATTCTGAACCAGTTCAGCATTTTGTGGTGTGATGGTGCCAGGATCTTCTCGATGGATGTAAAATACCCAGACTGAAACAGTTTGTTTTCCTACCTGTGGCTGTTCATATGGTTATTTTTCCTTTTTCCCAAGCCAGCTTCATTTCTAATTTGTGCTTGTAATCAATCCTGCTGCTCTCCCTCCCCTACCTTCCTTCTCTRGCAGACGAGTTTTGGTGTCAAGGTCTTTGGCCCAGCATGTTTCCAGGTTTCTGACTTCACCCTTAGCAGTGCTTCCTACAGCTCCAAACCCCTGATTTGCTCTTACATGCAAGGCATCARTTGCAAACAGGAAAGGAAATAAACTCTGTATCCACATAGTGCCTACAGGAGCCAGGAGAAGTTATTTACTGGCTTGGTTGAGCAGTGGGGAGGCTGTGGGGTTTTTTTAATAGTGTAAATCCAGTGATACATTAAACTTTGGAGAGCCATCTGGCCTTGTAAATTGGGCAAACCTGTTGTTTAATGCAGTCTGTCTGTAAGGTAATTTGGGAGCACTATCKTAGCAACAGCAGGGCCATAATAAAAACAAAGTTCAGGAAAAAATGGTAATTGCTGCCAGAGGTCTGATTACTTCCTCCCACCAAGGCTGGATGCTGCTCTAGGAATGCTTGTTCTGTCTTACTCTGCCTTTTCTGCCTCTGTCACCACCTGCAGCATTGCTGGGCTGTGAATTAAAACCATCTTTGTTTAGAAGATTTTTGCCCAAATTCCTGAATATTTCTTTTAATGACACAGTTAGAAACTTGCTCTGACTGCAGTTGTGGGTGACAGAGGGGACAGAGGAGACTCTGGGGMCCTGTGACTGCAGCCCATGGAAACTCCCCCGGGGCAGCTCTCAGTGTCTGCCTGTGCTGTGTGTGGAGGCAGTTTTGGGATGCCAGTGCTCATCCAGAGCCACCCAGCTCCCTGCAGAGGCAAATTGCTGCAGTGCTGAGCTGCACAAAAAGCGTGGGATTCTCCTTCTCGCTTAACTGGCAGGGCAAGATGCCCCACCCACAGCCTGGAAAGAATTCTGGTTASAAACTGCACATGTGGAAATTGCAGAGATAACAGCAGAAAGCATCATTTATCTGATCTGGTTTTAGCACTSATTCACCGTGTGAGTCCAAAACTTTCTAAGCTGGTGAGGTCTTAACTAAAGCAGAACCTTTGAAGTGCAGGTCAAAATTGTAGTTGTGGTCTCCTATAAGCAACAGGCTTTGTCCTGAGAAGAGTTAGACCCACCAAATTGAAAAGTCCAGGTAATTTACAGTTATTTCCCTAACCCTAGGGATTCTTCCATGAATTGGCTTGGAATGTAGTCCATGGTGGCACGTAGCTTCCTGCAGACTCTCTCTGTATGAAGTTCTTTGCCTCTGAAATGAGTTTGAGAACATTGCATGTCCACACATCCTCTTTTTGCCAGTTTTCATTTTTGTCTGCCTTCCCTTAAAGCTTCAAGTTCCTTTTCTCTTGGATTTAAAAGAATTCAGTTTGTGCATGAAGAGTGAATGCAGAACACTCTATCCAAGAAAGATTATTTTAATGAAGTTATGAGCTTGAAAAGGTCTGAACCGAGAATTTCGGTGCAGCTGTAATCCTGGAGCTGGTGCTGCCCCTTTTCTGTGACTTTCAAATTGCCTGGAACATGTGCAGGGTTGGACACAAATTATGCACATGGAGAGGAGACAACTTGAYCAAAAGTTTCTTTTGAAGTCTGTGGAGTCTGGTTTATTTTTAGTCCAAACAAGAAGGCAAGGACAAGGTTTTCTCAAATTATCAACCCAGCCTAGGAGGTCAGGAGCATTTGAAGCCAACAAGGACTCTAATTCTCACAAAAAGGCCATTAGWATGCTAAATTTCTATAATCAATGTCTGTGTAATAAAGATACATAACTTACATAGTAAATATACTAAGTTTGTAAGTTTTTAATGGCAATTATACCAAGGGAAAGATGGATTCATCAGATGGGAAGAGAAGAAGAATTTGACGTTTCAAAACAAGATACAGAAGTAATTCTTAGTTAAGAGAAACTTTTGCAAAAATTTCTTGCTAATATAAAAGCAAAGCAGTAAAGAGTTAAAATAAGTCTAGAAACACATGTTTCTCTGTCTTTTTTTAGAAATACTTGGTTCTAGCCAGATAGGAACTGTCAGTTTCAGAAGCTGATAGGTTTCACTTCTGACAAAATAGTATAGACAGTAAACATTCTATAAAAAGGGCAATATACTACAAATCATGTTAATATCAATTTAGATACAGTTAGCAATGTAAACTGAATTAGTGTTGTAAAATGTTGAATGAGTTTTATAACTGCTTCTAGCAATATATCATGCAGTATATTCATGTGAAAGGCTCTTCAAATTGTATTTACAATGGAAGTAATTTTAATAGTTCTAATTTGTTCTGCATATACTATTCATCAAAGTCAAATTATATTAAATAATTTTAAATCTCATCACAGCTTTTTTTCTTTGATGCTACAGTTTACATTGCATTGAATTATTTTGGAAGATAAAGTGATAGAAGAATTTACTGGAGAAGAATAGTCTTGTCTTGAAAATGTATACCAACAAAGAAAAATCTGATTTATTTTGAGATATGCTTACTTTGATAAGGTGATATGAGGAATTAACCCTTCCCACTTGAAACCCATTAGGAAGACTAAAAAAAGTTTCATTGAATGTTGTACRGGAGTATGTGAGAGCCTGAAGGACTCATTTTGGAGTAGTAGAAAATATTAGAAATTATTTCAAATTTCCTGGCATTTTGGCAAAACAGGTGGTATTGATCCTCTGGTTCCCTCTCCTAAGAGGCCGTGTCTGTCCGGGGAGAAGGCAGAAGACTGTTCTGTTTATGGAAGATACAATTTTAATGGAAATACAATTTTGAGAGTATCAGGCTCTCAAGGACAGGAGATGACTGGGATGGAATTGCCGAGGGAGGAGTTGGGATGAGATTCTGGCACTGGCAGGGCTGCGTGCTGGGATGAGTGTGGAGGGTGGAGCTGCCTCCCCTGTGCTCCTGAGGCCTCAGGCTGGCAATGCTCAGGAAAGAGAAAAATGGAACAATCCACTGGCTTGCAAGTTACTGGTGMAATTATGGTGAAAAAATTCCCTGCTAAATTTGGCTCTGGATTTTTTAAAATTAAGATAACAAACCCAGAGTTTTTTAAACATGAATGGCCAGTGTTTGTCCTAGTGCAATTTGTGTAATGCTGTTAAGCTTACAGAAGAATTTATTCGTAGCGAAAATAGTACTGACCACTTCTATTGCAAATGCAGATAGTCAGAGACTGAATAGCATTTCCCATGCACGGAGCAATGAGGTAGGTTTGCTCCGTTTCCAGAGAAAACTTAAAAAAAAAAAACTTTTCAGAGAGGATAAATAGGACAAAAGAAAACGAATGGCAGAAGGACGTCCCTCCTTATTAAAATACAACGCAATTTTCAACCACTGAAAGCAGTGGAGCCAAAATGGGTGTACAATGCGTTCCGAAGAATTTTGGATGATTTACACGAGGAGCTGGCGCTCGCTGCCGCAGGTGAGCTGTCACTGCCTCGAAAGCCTTTCCCGTGGGCAGTTTGGGTGTGTGCAGCCCCTGGCGGCTCCGGAGATCCCGCCTTTCCCGGGTGCCGGGGATGCTCCCGGGGATGCGCCGGGCGGGGCCAGCGCTGCCACCGCCCCCGGGCCGGGCTGGACCGGACACTGCTCCGCTCCCGGCCGGAGGGCATGGCGGAGCGGCGGGGACAGCAGCGGGTGAGCAGCGGGAGAGAGGGATGGAGCGGGGAGGGAGCGGGGATGGACCAGGGAGGGAGCGGGGAAACAGCGGGGATGAAGCGGGGAGAGAACGGGGAAAGAGCGGGGAAGGAGCGGGACGGAGCCGGGACGGAGGGGGGACGGAGCGAGGAAAGAATGGGGAGGGAGCGGGGAAAGAACGAGGAAGGAGCAGGGAGGGAGCGGGAAAGGAGCGAGGAAAGAATGGGGAGGGAGCGGGGACGGAGCAGCTCTGCCCCGGGGGAGGCGGACCAGAGGAGCGGGGCCGGGGGGGGCTCCGTCCAAAGTGGAATTTTCCTGGTGGTTCAGGCGCAGCCCCGAAGTTCTGGCTTGGAACGGGCCGGTGGATGGGGCTCTTTTGTTTTGGTTTAAGAACATGATACAGTTAACGAAAGTATTTGGCTCATTTTTCTTTTTTTTTTAAACTTTCCTTTCCTTTCCTCCTTTCCTTTCCTTTCCTTTCCTTTCCTTTCCTTTCCTTTCCTTTCCTTTCCTTTCCTTTCCTTTCCTTTCCTTTC